TTTATGTGCATATATATATGTCTAATGTATAGGTGCAAACTTTTCTTTTGTTTGGGTACTGATATACATTTCATAGTGGGTGTATAATTGCAGGTATATACTTTTGCAGTATCAGATTATTTGCTTTCACCTCAGAGTATTTTTAACTCTCTTGTTGGGGTCCTTTAATGGACCGGAACCTGGTGGTACCGAGTCAATGATAAGAAAGTAAAAGAGAGAAAGAGAGAGAGAGAGACCAAAGGAAAAAAAAAAAAAAAAAAGACCCGGGGACCTAAGCTCTGATGGAGCAAATGTGCTTTAATGATTTTTCTATGAGTATATATAGACTGTGGCACAAGAAACTTATTTCGGGAATGATAGAGATCAGAAAACCAAACGTACAGCAACTGTTACCAAGAGAACAAGGGATAATGTTAGTCACAACGTCAGGAGGCAATCCATATCTCAAGAAAGGGGAATGAGACTAAGCAGATTTGTCCTAAAGAGAATGTTTACTAAAGGAGACCCAAGCCTGCCTCACACAATGACCTCAGTCCCTGGGAGCAGCGTGCTGTTCCGCTTGAAGAGGGACAAAGGACTCATGAATGGCAGCACGTAGGAATCCTCCTGTGAAACATTCCCTGACAATTCCCCCTTATTTATTTATAATATTTGTAAGAAGAGTTTTGACCATCAGAGTTTATTCAGTTTTGACAATCTTTGCATGAAGGCAACAGTAGACAACAAATATAATTGTTAAGACAATCACCAAAATTATATTTCTAGACCCAATGCTATGAATAAGGCTTTGAAACCATCCATGTGGGTCTAGCCCAGATAATTGATCAGCTAATTGTTTAGCTAAAGTTCCCATACTAGTGGAAGAGGGCAGCTTATTAGAAAAGGTTTCACATACCTCTTTTTTGTAATAACTGTACATTCAGAAACGCATTATCATATATGTTTTAAAAATGAAACTTGATTTGTTTCCAGTTGTAGCCACTATTACAGAAATGAACAGGAGTAACATGAAATTGAGTAGAATTTCAATCACATTTGAGCGTTATCTATTTTTGTACATTTGTTCATTGATCTCCAACCCATTTGATGGCTGTTCTCAGTTCCTGTATTTCTTTTTGAATATCCTCATCTATTTGAGCCTGAGTGGCCCACATAATATGAAACTCTTTAGTCCAATTTTGGATAAAATTATGTGTTTGAATTGAGGTTTGTAAAGTAATGCTAGTGATGGCAGCAATGGTGCAAACAGTTATTAAATCCTATAATGCCAAAAATCAGCCATCCAATGAATCATTTAGATCGCTAAAGCAATTTAGTAAATAACTGGGAAGCAAGTCTAGCCTTGGGACCTTCTTCCCAGGGCCATTGGAGATTTATTGGTATGTCATAGATTATGTCAAGATTGAAGAATCAAAAGGGAGTCATTTTTAAGGAAGTAGAAGAGTTAAGACAAGTATATAATTTACAGGTTATGCAAGTTACAGAACGCAAAGTTTTATTGAATTGTAAATTTCCTATAGCTACAACAAAAGGAAATGGAATATAGGCGTGTATAAAATATGATTGATTATAGTGAAAGAAATAATTGCTATAGCTATGATTGGTCCCTGTGAAATATCTGGTCCAAGTCCCAAGTTCTTCAGTGTTTGCAGCAAGTTTTCAGATGTCCCATTGTTTAGGCCCAATCTGTTTATCAAGGATGATTCGAGGATGAGGTGAGGGCCATTCCATTGTCAAGCTAGCCAAGAAGTCCTCTGTCATGGTAATGTCCCATTGTAGTATTAGTAACTACCATGTTACTTGAGTAATATAATCATACATAGTATTGTTAATATCATCTGAGCAGTTCAATAACCACATACTATGGGGTTCCCAGTTGACAATTGTATTATTAGCTATAAACATCAATTTTCCTGATTTGGCCTGACATTTGTCTTAATGAACAGGAATATATTTAAAGTTCTTATTAGTAAACCTTTGCATAGTGTTTTCATTGTTTTTTCTTTAATTCTTTTCCTAAAGTTTTAGGAGCATAAACACGATTCATGGACAAAGAACGGGCAGTAAGTAATCCAAGAAGCATCAGAAAGTCCTGTTTTGGAGGCAGGGGAAGACCTAAGTTTGTCGGCTAATGTTTATGCATAATTCTGTTGTGTCCATACACAAAGGAAGGATTTCATAACCTAGAAAGATATTAATTAGTTTTTCTTTTTCTTCAGGATGAGAGGGCCCTTCCAAGTTCCAAAGGAGGGGGCCCATGTGTAGACTCATTAGTCAAAATGATTGGTCTTATATATTTCCATTTTCTAACCTACAATAAAAAAAAATGGGCGTTAGGTATATAAGCCCAGTAAGTGTGATCAATCAAGTCACTCTGAGCGGGGGCAGCAAAAGCAAGCAAAGCAAGCATAGCGAAGAAAAATATTTTCTGGATTCCGAGGCATTCCCTGTTGAGAAATCAGATTTTCAGTTTGATTAGTAAGGGTTTTTTATCCGTCCCCAAGTAGGGAGATCATAAGGTCGATCACGTTGAGTGTGGCATTTTTTGGAAATTTTTAATGTCGCCATGGATTGTATTGGAATTCATTCTTCCTGGATTTTTTGTTGTTTCATCTCTAGTCTGAATGCTGGGGGACCCCTTAGGTTGAATCTTCTAAAGAGGAAGTCATGTGAGGCTCGTTGCATGCATCTGGAGAAATAGAAAATATCCTTTCCCTGTAAGATTAGTTTCTTAGATTTCCATTGATTAGTTAACCTGTCTTGATATCAAATGGGCAAAGGAAAGGAGGTGTCCTTTAATGTTTCAAAACTTCTTTTTTTTGTTTGTTTGTTGTTTGTTTTTTGCTTTTGTCAAAACATCTCTCTGTGGTAAGTGTAAAAAGTTTAAGACAAATAAGGCTATACTAACAATAGTTATAAAAAGAAAGGAAAACAATAATGATGAAAACATTCTTAGGAAATATTTCAGTCCAAAAGAAAAAAATCATTCAGAAATCTGTTTGGGACTGGTATTTGGCTGTGGTTTGTGTTATTTGTGGCAAAGGATTAGGAGTAACCATTCAAGTATTTTTTTTCCTAAGTGAAATTATTGAAAAGGTGATGCAGAAAAACTTGACAAATGAATATATTTGACCTTGACATTCACATACATTTGACCTTGTCCTTGAAAATGAAATGCAGCTTAGCAACTGTTGAATCTCACTGTTCAGTGTATTAAAGAAGATGACTACCCTTCCAAGACAGACCTGAAAAGAAGGCAAACATTCCACATTTCTGATATTCTTAGGAACAAATAATACATTCAGGAAATGGTGGGTTTCTGTTTTGTTGTTTTTTTTAAATGCCGTTTTCGCCCTGCTTTAAGAATCCTACAGATTGGAAAGAGAAATAAAGTCACACCAATAATAGTTATAGGCTTAAAGACTAAACTACACTACACCAGAATCTAATAAAGTTTGCTCTGGACAAGGAAGACAAAAGTGTTCCTGTGTATTTCCTCTTATTTAATTTTTTATTCGCAGTTACAGTGTGTAATGTGTTTGTCCAATCATGTCTTGTGTTTGCGGACTATAACGAATGTCTGCAATCTGTTTAATAGATTGAATGTAAAGATTGTTGGAAATGATTAGAAATATAGGCAGAATCATTGTCTGTTTTTACAGCATTAGGTGTTCTCATTTCGTGAAGTAAGTTGATAGGTGGGTTATAACCTGCTGTGTAGTCTTACCTTAGAGAGGTGTTGCCCCTAGAAAAGAAGAATTTGTATTGATCGAGACATGTAAGAAGAAAGAGGAAGAAAGTTCAGGACAATGAGTTACATCTATCTGCCATAAAATTTTCCTTCATTTGTCATAAGCCCTTCTAAAATTCCAGCACTAAACATCAAGGCCAAAACAAAATATGATAGCACAATAAACAAATGCAATGTTTATTTCAAATAAACATATCATACTTTGTGGTTTTCACTGTGATCTACCTAAGTATTTTAATTGCATTTTCCAATATTCTTGCAGTCTGAATGTATCTGCTGACTAAAGTTAATTCTGTTAAATGTTTGTTTGGAAACAACATTCTTGTTTCCAATTTGGTTTAATTTGGAGAAAGAACATTTGCTATAGCTAGAACGACAATGAAAAACTAGTCTAGTAAAGCTTATGTAAATACTATTTTAGTTTTCCTCTCTCTCTCTCTCTCTCTCTTTCTCTCTCTCTCTCTCTCTCAGATTCAGGGTTAATGTCGCGATCTTTTGGAAGTTCTGTTGGGGAAGATGGCGGGGGCCACGAGCACCCTTCTCTTCTTGTCGCCCGGGACTTCAGACTGAGTCTTCCCTGGAAGAGTGGGACTGCAGGTGCCCTGCGTCCGGGGAGCTCGAACCAACTTGGTTTCTCCATTACTGGTGGGGAAGGGCATAACCTCTTGTGTAGGACTTAGGCCCTCCCCGCTGTCAGGATGAAGGCTCAGGGGGAAACTGAGGAGTCGGAAAAGCTGAGTAAGATGAGTTTTCTCTTGGAACGACTCCATGTAAAATTTAACCAAAATAGACCTTGGAGTGAAACCATTAAGCTTGTGTGTCAAGTCATGGAGAAGAGGGTTGTAATGAGTTCTGGAGGGCACCAACATTTGGTCAGCTGTTTGGAGACATTGCAGAAAGCTCTCAAAGTAACATCTTTACCAGCAGTGACTGATCGTTTGGAGTCTATAGCAAGACAGAATGGAGCTGTCCAGAGCTTGTACAGCAGCTAAGCAAACTGAAGACTAAACTGTACTTGGCTCTCCAATCCTTAGAACAGGATCTATCTAAAATGGCAGTTATGTATTGGAAAGCAACCAATGCTGGACCCTTGGATAAGATTCTTCATGGAAGTGCTGGCTATCTCACTCCAAGAAGCGGGGGTCATTTAATGAACTTGAAGAATTATGCCTCTCCTTCTGACCTGCTGGATGATAAGACAACATCCCCTATCATTTTGCATGAGACTAATGTTCCTCGATCTTTGGGCATGAATGCATCAGTGACAATTGAAGGAACGTCTGCTATGTATAAACTCCCAATTGTACCATTAATTATGGGATCACATCCAGTTGACAACAAATGGACTCCCTCCTTCTCCTCAGTTCCCAGTGCCAACAGTGTTGATCTTCCTGCTTGTTTCGTCTTGAAATTTCCCCAGCCACTTCCAGTATCTAGAGCATTTGTTCAGAAAATGCAGAACTGCATAGGAATTCCATTGTTTGAAACTCAGCCAACTTATGTACCCCTCTATGAACTGATCACTCAATTTGAACTGTCAAAGGATCCTGACCCCTTACCTTTGAATCACAACATGCGATTTTATGCTGCTCTTCCAGGTCAACAGCACTGCTCTTTCCTCAACAAGGATGCTCCTCTTCCAGATGGTAGAAGTCTACAGGGAACCCTTGTTAGCAAAATCACCTTTCAGCACCCTGGCCGGGCTCCTCTTATCCTGAATCTGATCAGACACCAAGTGGCCTATAACACCTTAATTGGAAGCTGTGTCAAAAGAACTATTCTGAAGGAAGATTCTCCAGGGCTTCTCCAATTTGAAGTGTGTCCCCTCTCAGAGTCCCGTTTCAGTGTGTCTTTTCAGCACCCTGTGAATGACTCCCTGGTGTGTGTGGTATTGGATGTGCAGGACGCAACACACGTGAGCTGTAAACTCTACAAGGTGCTGTTAGATGCACTCATCCGCAAAGATGACTTCATTGCTAAAGTTGTTCAAAGTTGTATGTTGATTCCTGTGACGATGAGGGCTATTCGGAGGAAAGCTGAAACCCTTCAGGCCGACACTCCAGCACTGTCCCTTATTACAGAGACAGTTGAAGACATGGTGAAAAAGAACCTGCCCCTGGCTAGCAGCCCAGGGTATGGCATGACCACAGGCAACAACCCAATGAGTGGTACCGCTACACCAACCAACACCTTTCCGGGAGGTCCCATTACCACCTTGTTTAATATGAGCATGAGCATCAAAGATCGGCATGAGTCGGTGGGCCATGGGGAGGACTTCAGCAAGGTATCTAAGAACCCAATTCTTACCAGTTTGTTGCAAATCACAGGGAATGGGGGGGTCTACCATTGACTCGAATCCGAACCCGCCTCATCACACGCCGCCACCTGTGATGGCCGGCAACACCAAGAACCACCCGATGCTCATGAACCTTCTTAAAGATAATCCTGCCCAGGATTTCTCAACCCTTTATGGAAGCAGCCCTTTAGAAAGGCAGAACTCTTCCGGCTCACCCCGGATGGAAATGTGCTCGGGAAGCAACAAGACAAAGAAGAAGAAGTCATCAACATTACCAACTGACAAACCAAAGCACCAGACTGAAGATGACTTTCAGCGGGAGCTATTTTCAATGGATGTTGACTCACAAAACCCTATCTTTGATGTCAGCATGACAGCTGACACGCTGGATACACCACACATCACTCCAGCTCCAAGCCAGTGTAGTACTCCCACACCAACTTACCCGCAACCAGTACCTCACTCCCAACCCTGTATTTAAAGGATGGTCCGACTATCCAGTTCAGACAGCATTGGCCCAGATGTAACTGATATCCTTTCAGACATTGCAGAAGAAGCTTCTAAGTTTCCCAGCACTACTGATGATTGTCCACCCATTGGCACACCTGTTCAAGATTCTTCAAGCTCTGGGCATTCTCAGAGTGCCCTCTTTGACCCTGATGTATTTCAAGCCAATAATAATGAAAATCCATACACTGATCCAGCTGACCTTATTGCAGATGCTGCTGGCAGCCCCACTAGTGACTCACCTACCAATCATTTTCTTCCTGATGGCGTAGATTTCAATCCTGATTTGTTGAACAGCCAGAGCCAGAGTGGTTTTGGAGAAGAGTATTTTGATGAAAGCAGCCAAAGTGGAGATAATGATGATTTCAAAGGATTTGCATCTCAGGCACTAAATACTTTGAGGGTGCCAATGCTCGGAGGTGATAATGGGGAGACTAAGTTTAAAGGCAATAGCCAAGCTGATACGGTTGATTTCAGTATTATAGCAGTGGCTGGTAAGGCTTTGGGTCATACAGATCTTATGGAGCATCACAGTGGTAGCCAGAGTCCTTTATTGACTACTGGGGACTTAGGGAAAGAAAAGACTCAAAAGAGTCAAGGAAGGCAATGCTGCCAGTAATAGTAGTCTGTCAGGGACAGGATTAGACAGCAAACCAGGGAAGCACAGTCGAACCCCTTCTTAATGATGGCAAAAGCAAAGATAAGCCTCCAAAGTGGAAGAAGGCAGACACTGAGGGAAAGTCTCCATCTCACAGTTCTTCTAACCGACCTGTCACCCCACCTACTAGTACAGGTGGATCTAAATCTCCAGGCAGTTCAGGAAGATCTCAGACTCCCCCAGGTGTTGCCACACCACCCATTCCCGAAATTACTATTCAGATTCCTAAGGGAACTGTGATGGTGGGAAAGCCCTCTTCTCACAGTCAGTATACCACCAGTGGTTCTGTGTCTTCCTCAGGAAGTAAAAGCCACCATAGCCATTCTTCCTCATCTTCTGCTTCCAACTCAGGCAAGATGAAAAGCAGTAAATCAGAAGGTTCATCAAGTTCTAAGTTAAGTAGCAGTATATATTCTAGCCAAGGGTCTTCTGGATCTAGCCAATCCAAAAATTCATCCCAGTCTGGGAGAAAGCCAGGCTCCTCTCCTATTACCAAGCATGGACTGAGCAGTGGCTCCAGCAGCACCAAGATGAAACCTCAAGGGAAGCCATCATCACTTATGAATCCTTCTTTAAGTAAACCAAACATATCCCCTTCCCATTCAAGGCCACCTGGAGGCTCTGATAAGCTTGCCTCTCCAATGAAGCCTGTTCCTGGGAGTCCCCCATCCTCTAAAGCCAAGTCCCCTATCAGTTCAGGTTCTGGTGGTTCTCACATGTCTGGAACTAGTTCAAGCACCGTCATGAAGTCATCTTCAGGGTTAGGATACTCAGGCTCGTTGTCTCAGAAAACTCCCCCATCATCTAACTCTTGTACAGCATCTTCCTCTTCCTTCTCCTCAAGTGGCTCTTCCATGTCCTGCTCTCAGAACCAGCATGGGAGTTCCAAAGGGAAATCTCCCAGCAGAAATAAGAAGCCATCTTTAACAGCTGTCATAGATAAACTGAAGCATGGGGTTGTCACCCGTGGCCCTGGGGGTGAAGACCCACTGGACGGCCAAATGGGGGTGAGCACAAATTCTAGCCATCCTGTGTCCTCCAAACATAACATGTCTGGAGGAGAGTTCCAGGGCAAGCGTGAGAAAAGTGATAAAGACAAATCAAAGCTTTCCACCTCAGAAAATGGGGGCTCAGTGGATTCATCTAAGAAGACCTCAGAGTCTAAAAATATGGGGAACACAGGTGTGGGCAAAAAATTATCATCAGCAAGCATGATGGGGGATCCCCCAGCATTAAAGCCAAAGTGACTTTGCAGAAACCTGGGGAAAGTGGTGGAGAAGGGCTCAAGCCTCAGATGGCCTCTTCCAAAAACTATGGCTCTCCACTCATCAGTGGTTCCACTCCAAAGCATGGGCGTGGCTCTCCCAGCCATAGTAAGTCACCAGCATATACCCCCCAGAATCTGGACAGTGAAAGTGAGTCAGGCTCCTCCATAGCAGAGAAATCTTATCAGAACAGTCCTAGCTCAGATGATGGCATCCAACCTCTTCCAGAATACAGCACAGAGAAGCATAAGAAGCACAAAAAAGAAAAGAAGAAAGTAAAAGACAAAGATAGGGACTGGGACAAAGACTGAAACAAGAAAAAATCTCATAGCATCAAGCCAGAGAGTTGGTCTAAATCACCCATCTCATCAGACCAGTCCTTGTCTATGACAAGTAACACAGTCTTATCTACAGACAGGCCCTCAAGGCTCAGCCCTGACTGTATGATTGGGGAGGAAGATGACGATCTTATGGATGTGGCCCTGATTGGCAACTAGGAACCTTACTTTTTAAAGCAAAAATATGGCCAGAGAAGAACTAAGTGTATAGGCAAATCACAATAAGGAGTGAGTCAGGTCTGATTTTGTGTTTAAGAATCTTAAATGGCGTGGCTTTGACACCAAGTGGGATGAATTTTGAAAGGCATAGCCAGACCCTACTAAAGAGACCATAGGATTTGATTCTGGTTACCGCAAATCAGTTGTTCCTTTGCCAGGAAAAAAAAAAAAAAAGTTTTAAAATATTGGCTTATGAAAGGGAGAGGGTGGGAAGGGCTTAGGGAGAGAGAAGGGTGGGAAACAGTTCTGTGGGAAATATTCATATATATTTTTTCTCCCTTTTTCCATTTTTAGGCCATGTTTTAAACTCATTTTAGTGCATGTATTTGAAGGGCTGGGCAGAAAATGAAAAAGCAATACATTTCTTGATTCATTTGCATGAATGTTGTTCACCTTTGGGTAGTTGTCCATTTGAGGCAGGGGTAAATGAAGGACTTGGGTCATTTTGGACACTTAAGTAATGTTTGATGTCTGTTTCTTAGAGGATTGTTTGGGGAGGGAAGATGACTTTAGCTATTTATTTGTAATATTTTAACCCTTTATCTGTTTGCTTTTATACAGTGTTTTTTTTCTAATTCTATGAGGTTCAGGGTTCATAATGATGGGAGGCAAGAAGGAGGCTTATTTGCTGGTAGGGAGCTTGTGGCTTATGCTGGTAATGTAGTATCAACCTGAAGCAGATGAGTCAGAGCCCACCTTTGGAGTCAAGTAGAAAACCAAAATGGTGTTTTTGTTGTAGGAGGTTTTTCATAGGGTTCAGACGTCATAGGAATATTAGGAGTTATCTTTCTCTGGAGGTATTGATTTATAGTTTCTTTTTCCTTTAAAGAAAGCTTGGCTGGCTTTTTGGGATGTAAACGTTTCAGATGAAGTAAAATTTAAAAGTGGGATAGCCTCCCTGACCCAGTGGCAGGAAAACCATTACAGAATTCATAGTTCTCCTATTTCTACAATGTGCCAAAAGTCCACATTCCAGCATTTTGTTTGTAGGAGAACTGATGCCATTCCTGAGAACTGGGCTCCTTGTTTCCCTTCATCACAAGGATAAGGAGTCCAGACTTTAATCACTCCACTGTATGCTCCCTTAGATAAAACAGTAAAAAATTTGCAGCCATAGTTCACTTTTTTTTCCACTTATTTTTATTAGTTGGAGGCTAATTACTTTACATCATTGCAGTGGTTTTTGTCATACATTGAAATGAATTAGCCATGGATTGACATGTATTCCCCATCCCGGTCCCCCCTCCCAGCTCCCTCTCCACCTGATCCCTCTGAGTCTTCCCAGTGCACCAGGCCCGAGCACTT